TACAAGTATGAAGACAATGAATGGCATCTGACATCTAGAAGGGTGAATGAAATAAAAAAAAATTGCCAATCTAAAACTCTATGACCTAATAAAAAGTCTTCAAAATGGCCCTCTTTGAGAATGTCACAGCTACAGAGGGTCTCCCTTCTGCCTGCTCTGCCCCTGACTCCCCACTGTTAGCTCTCGCCCAGGAACAAGTCTGTCAGGAAGCCAATACCAGAAAGACACCCATGGAACCAGAGGTGGTGATTCACCAAATTAGAATGACTCTAACCAGGGGCAACATAAAATCCCTGGAGAAGGTGTGTGCTGCTGACTTGATCAGAGGTGCAAAGGAAAAGAATCTCAAAGTGAAAGAACCTGTTAGGATGCCTACCAAGACTGAGCATCACCACAGGAAAAAGTCCCTGTAGAGAAGAGTCTAAGAACTTGGGATCGTTTTCAGATGGGGATCCGCAAGCGACTCGTTGACTTGCACAGTCCTTCTGAGATTGTTAGGCAAACTACTTCCATCAGTATTGAGCTAGGAGTTGAGACTGAAGTCACCACTGCAGATGCTTAAATCAACCTTTTTTTTTTAAGATTTTTATTGGGGAATTGGGGTATGAGAACAGCGCTGGGGAATTGGGGGAAGGGAAACAGACAAGTTGCTGTCGTTTTGTTCTTCAGTCTAGTTGTGGAGGATATTGTTTCATTGGCCCAAGTTGGCACCATCATTGCGCTCTTCCCNCAGTGAAGCAACGTCCTCCACAACTAGACTGAAGAACAAAAGGACAGCAACTTGTCTGTTCCCCTTCCCCCGATTCCCCAGCGCTGTTCCCATCCCCTAATTTCCCAATAAAAATCTTAAAAAAAAAATAGCAAGTGCATCTGAGCGGTATGAGTGGTGGACCATAATGGAGACAGTGGTATATTTCCAATTCTTTTTTCAGGACTAAGTCATTCACTGTTGGAAGTGTTGGTTGTTAAGGGCTCATGCTGCCATCCTCTCTGGGAATTCCCTTGGGCCAATGAAAGTGCCACATCTAAGATTAAGGCCATTCCCAATGACTGGGTCCCAATGAAGGGTACAAAGACCCAATTTCTTTGCCTCAATTTGAGATACTCCTGAAGAGCCACCCTATGGGGTTAGCTATAGTCTGTTTTTAACTTATTACAGTTCAATCTCTTATTCTTCCCAATCCTGGCTTTCTCCTTTAGAGATACTCCTCAATAAAGTCCATTAAGCAAAATTCTCCATCTGACTTAAGCTCACACTGTCAAGTAAAGAACCTCATTCAGATGAGGGGCTGGCAGAGACAAAGGGAACATTGAAAGAGTTATGAAAGAATTCAACAAGGCTGCCAGACCAGGTGCAGAAGCAGGAACAGAAGGCAGCTATGTTTTTAGTTAATTGTTTCTCCACTTACTCCCATGAGCCTTCTTTCCTCTCTCCACCTTATGTAAATAACACTGTGCCCAAGTTTCAGGTTTTAGTGGGAGTATGATCAAATCGACATTACCATAGGATAATACTCATATAGTAGCTGCTGGGCTTCCTTTGTATCTTGTTATGAGAACATGAACTTATCACTAGGTGAAGGACAAGAGTTCATGTCAAGAAACAAAAGGGGGTAGACAGTGTTGAATATCTCCCATTTGCCCTTCCAGTCCAGTCTCTTCTCCACCTTGCTCTCTGACTGGAGAGGTTAACCTGTATGGACTACTTTAATGGGCTCATTTGCCTTAGTGCTTCTATTTCGGTTGGTCATTGGGAGCACAGGCAGAAGGGCAGAAGAATGGAACCGAGTGAGGTCATGTGCTGGCCATACCCCTGCAGGAGAGCTCGGGTCTGGGTGCTACCCTTGACCTCTGTTCAGACCTGTAGTGCAGTCTTCTCTGTCTACTATGTTCCCAGATTTCAAGAATTGCTCCTTTCCCTCCCCTCTTCTTCCTTGCCCTCTTCCAGTCACCAAATATGCAGTATCCTCTTTTGGTTTTCCTACTCCCTAGTGCCTTTACCATGGGTTGTTCTGATTTAGTGATATGCCAATGCACTGAGAGTATAATGAAAAGTCCTTACCATTCCTAGAAGACCCCAGTCAGGATCTGCTACATCACTGACCTCATCTTCCACCACTCTCCTATTTCATTCCTCCGCTGGAGTCCCCCTGGGCTTCCTGTAGCTTCATTACCCCAGCACAGCTCTGCATGAGTGCCTCTGTGCCGTCTAGACTGATATCCCCGCACGTGGCTACATGGGTCACTATCGCAGTTCACTTAGGTCTCTGCTCAAAAGTCCTCTGAGCTGAGAGGCGTTCCCATCTCATTCTAAATAAATGAATAAGTCTCCAGTTCCCTCATTTCTTCCATTTATTGGGAATTATTTTCCTCAATAGCACTTATTAGCATATGACCAACTCTCTTTATTACTTTGTTTGACTAATTTTCTCCATCCCAAATCCCACTAGGTTGTGAACACAGGAAGGCAAGGGCTACATTTGATCCATCATGGTAGACCTTGTGCTGTAAACTGTGGTGCAGAGGCAGTGCCCTATGGTGTGGNAAATCAAATTCATACCTCTGGACATAGAGGACTGGAAGTGGGCTGGACCATTTTATGATGGTCAGGGGAGAATGGGTCATCGCAGTTAGCAAGCCCAAGGGATCTCTATAAATATGTAAATTCCCACTCAAAAATCTCTATTTTCTGCCTAGAAACACATTCACCCCCTTCTCCTTCACTGAATTGTTTTATCTGAGTTGTTTACTGAGTTGTTATCCTGGAAAATGAGGATTCACCTACAAAATAATTTCCTCCAGGAAGCTTTCTATGATTACCACTCCCAAGTATAGATTGGTTCACATCAAATAATTTATAATTGACAATTGTCCATTCTTGTTATTCCCATCTACAACATAAACTCCATGAGGGCAGAGACATCTATTGGGCAGGGGGGGAAAGTTGCAGCTCCCCTACTTATCCCCATGCAACTTAAAAAATATTGTATACTTTTTCTTTATAAATTGAAATAATGTTCCTCCCAGCTTTCTGCCACTGTTCCAGGATGGGAATTAAATTTTTATCCATTTTGGTAAACATAGTCCAATAGAATAATGTAGGTAAATACTCAGTTTTCTTTCAACTTCCAGATTTCTTCTCCCTACCTCTGCTCCTATGCAAGTTGACCCCTGGGTTTGCAGTAACTGGCAATGGATGGACTGCCTAGCTCATAGGTTTTGTGGCACTGTCAAGAGGCTAAGGGGCTTTTGGATCCTCACTGGCCACTGTGGCAGAGAGGTTAATGTTGTCTGCTCCCTGNGAACCGGGGCCCTCTGGCATCCCAAGCCAGCTCTTAACCACTGCACCACTCATCCAGCCCCCTACTCCACCATTTTGACAAAAGGTTCTATCATTACCTACTTTTTTCTGATAGATTTATTGGTTTCTGAGTGATGTGTTCAACAATAATAGAGTATCTATGATATCTATATCTTCCTTAAGAATTAGTTATTTTTAATTCAATCTCCTCTCCTCTATTCTCCAATGTGGTAATCATCTGGAATTTTAGTAGAATGTGTTTTTAATGTCTTGTTTTTAAAACTAATACTAATTTACATACGCTGATTTTTTTTTCTTTTCCTTATGATTCCTGTTATGGTTTTCCAGATTCACATTTCCTCTCCCTGATGTACATTCTTTATTGGTTGTTTCACTAAAAACCTAGAGGAGGTAAACTTTGAGACTGTATGTCAGAAAATGTCTTTACCTCTTTCTTTGACAGATAGGTTGGCTAAGTGCTTAATTTCTTAGTAATTATTTTTTCTTGGTTGTTATTTATTGGGTCGTCAGAAAAGTCATGACATACTTTTCTATGTTTTTCTTTGCAAAAATGCATCACGACTTTTCTGACAACCCAATAGCATTTCTGAGCCTCCATATATTTATGGGAATAAAATAAGAATAAAGCCCTATGGATGGTGAGTATAACTGACATAATGCATGAAGAGCTTGCCAATCATGTTGCTTAGCAGATATGAAGCTATCAATAATGATAGCTATTATTATCATTATTATAATCTTCAGAAAGTACATTCCCAGAAAATGGCAGCTTAAGACCGAGGAGAAGAAATTCATACCAACAAAACTGAATGGTTGGCATTACCAGGATATTAATTTTGAACCTTTGGGTATCTTCAGCTGTGGTCATCTGCAAACTGTGTAGAGATCATATAATCTGTTCCTGCAAATCCAAGGCAGGATAGCACAGCCAGCCTCACACCTGCAATGCTTTGAGCTGCTTATTGGGGAACTTCTGTTATAACTGTCTTGGTGGATTCTGTGCAGAAAATTATGAAAAAAAGACTATTCGGCCTCAGATTTTTACCCTGAGTATTTATTCATCTTTATATCCAAACATTCTAGAGCCTCAATATTACTCTAGATCAAATCTTCCTAGACACCCAGTCATTTCAGCTCTCAAGTCCCAGAGCTGACTGCAGAGTCATGTCTAATCCACTTCTTCCATCTTGCTCTATTTTCTATCTTGGAGAAACCATGAGGAAGGAGGTGCCACCAAGGCAGATTGATCTGGAATTCCTGGTGAATCTGAACTTTAGAGAGTGAAGTAGTGTAATGGGAACTTGAGACTTCATGGCTTTGGGGGTGAGGAAAATGGAGGAACAGAGATGGGTGTGACGGTTGACACAAGAGTCAGGGAAGGTGTGTTGCAGTTTCCTAAGAAGGGAAACCTTGCACTGAAGAGGATATGATTTTATACGATGGCAATTTCTGTGCCAGTTTCACCGATTCTGGTGTTCCTAAAGGATAAAATGGTATGAAACCATAAGACAGAACTTGCAGCTGCCTTCAGGACTTAATGAAGGGAAGACTTTTATATTAGTCCCCTGTGAACCAGACAAGGGACATGTCAAGAAGGGCTCAGAGACTGTGTTGGACCAATGTGGTTTATTTCTAATCCAGATGAGCTCCATTGGACCCTGGTTGAGAAAAGAGGGCCTCAGGCAGATCCAGTCATTGCAGCTTCCTCTGGTCTAGGTGTGGCACATGATAGTTCAGGTATCATTGCTGAATCTGGTAGTCTCTCTCCTTCTTCCGCAGGCATGTGGTAACCTGTGAAGGTGAGGAAGGGGCCTCAGAATGGACTGTTCAGCTGCCCAAGCATGGGAGACTACAAGGGAAGAAGATGGCCAAAGCCACACAGACCAGACATCCTGTGTCTCTCTCCTTCCTTTCTTCATTTAATTTTTCTACCTCAGTCCTTCTTTTCCTTTCCTTTTTTTCTTTCATCTCTCTCTGTTTTTCTGTCCTCCTTTTCACTCTCACTTGTTCTACCATTTTCCCTCCGATTACCCCTTCATTTTCTCTCTCTCTCTCTCCTCTCTCTCTTTCCTTCTTTCACTCTCTCTTTCTCTCCCACATGCTCTAGCTTAATTGAGGTATAACTGACATACAAAAAATTGCATAAATTTAAAGTAAATTCTTTGATAAGTTTTGATTATTGAATCATCACCACAGTCAAATAAGGAATTCCCTAGCCTCCTGGATGGCTCAGTGGATAGATAGCATACGCTCTTACCAACAAGGCTGCCAGGTTCGACTCTTGTATGGAAAAAAAAAGGAATTACCATCATCCCCCAAAGTGTCCTCATGCTCCTGTGTGATTCCCTGCCATTTGCAGATACATTCTTATTCCCAGGCAACCACTGAACTGATTTCTGTCCCTAGAGGTAGGATTTTCTA